GATGGCAGAATGGCCATTGCGGTAGTAGATTTGGCACCGGAGAGGAGGACGGTCTGCAGAAGAAGGGCCTACACCAAGGACTCCTACACGACCTTAAGAAGACCCGCAGCACTGCCATGAAGGCGAGGAAGAAAACCAGTGCGTCCACCATCGCGGACACCACCAGATCGTCCACCACCACGTCCACAGTTGGCAACCATGGCAGTCATAGAAGGAAGAGAAGTGTCTTCAGTCAAAGGAAATGTGAGATGACGTCTTTCAGCATTGAGGAGCAGTGCAGCCAACGCTGCATAAGAAATGGGAGTTTCACGGGCTTGGATAGATGCCACAATATTCTCATACAAAGGGCCAACGTTGTTCAGAATGGTAGCAATCAAATCAGCATCAAACATGGGAACACCAGACAAAGCTAATTGGTCAGCCAAATTATTAATTTTATCCAGAAAGTCAGAAATGCTAAGGTCCCCGCGACGAAGGTTGAGGAGTTCACCACGTAGTTGAATAACGTGATTATGAGAGGAAGGTGCATACCGTTCCTACAAGGCTGTCCAAGCTTCGGCAGCACTAACACACTTGACAACAACATGCATGACAAGAGGAAAGAGGGAACTGGTGATCCACGAAAGCACCATCTGATCTTGCTGAATCCAGGGTTCAAAAAGAGGATTGATGACATCAGTAAGGTGACCATCATCATCAATCAAAAATGCAGTGGACATTGTGACGTGCCATCGACAAAGGGCATGAGGCTTCGACTTCGAAGTAAAGGGACAAACTGGGCGCACCACAAAGGATAATTGTGATGATCAAGTTTCAAGGGTAAGAAGGCAGAAACATTAGGGAGAGGAGTGGCAGCGGAAGAGGCCATGAGGATTGAGAAGGAAAAATGTCGTGAGACAGTGGAGAGGATGATACCATATAAGATAAGTGTGCTCAATGATTTGAGCATATTCCATTTGATGTTTTTATAGAGATTACAAGTAGTATTTGGATGAAGAACAAACTCTTCAAACCAAGGATAATTTACAGATAATACAAAAGATAAGGTTTATCTCAGCCTTCCTGTTTACTGATTTGGTTGCGATCTTCAGGGAATGTTGTGGCGGGAACCATTTGAATTCTAACTTGGTTTATTAATTATTACTAGTTGGACTAGCAACGCACAATTTCATAACTAAAGGTTGTGCCAACATAAAATAGTTGGTCTAGCGGCCCACACCTTTCGCATTTGCATGGTTACCGTCATCATCAAACCTAAATCGTATTTAGAATAATGAGACCAACATAAAATAGTTAAGATGCTTCCTTGACCAAAGGTTGTGCCTACATTTTGTTTGTTCAAAAATAAATAAATAAAATGATTATTGACTCATTTGGTAAGTGCTTTTATGTGACATCCCGTCCCGGGATTATTAACACGTACGTGTGGAATTACAATTTTGCCCCTAGTGTGTTTTCGTCACTTAGTGGGGTTGTTTTGTGTGTTGTGGCATGTGTTGGGCCACACACACACCTGCACACTCTCTGCCCTTCCCTTTCCCTCTGTCTCTCTCCCTCCCGTGTCTCTCTTTCTCTCCCCCGAGCTCCCACTACCCCTGTAAACGTACGGACATAAACCAAGGACCTTTAAACCGTAGCAGATCGAGGAAACCAAGAGTGCAGTTGTGATCGTGAGGTCGAGGGGAGCACGAATATACCACTTGCAGGTAAGAACTTCGACGTTTTCACGTCGATATCGCGATGTCCGTTTTGAACACTGTTCATGCAACATTAATTTACTTAGTTTTTGGACATTTGAAGCTTGTAGGTGGGTTGGTGAAGTCCTAAGGAGCGTCGGAGTAGCTCGTTGGACGAAGTTGGACGTCGGGAAGGCCTGGTTCGAAGTTGGCCGGTTTTTGAGTTTGGGGACAGGTATGATTGCGTAACTTTTAGCCTTTAAAAGTGGTCCAACGTGATTCTACTAGTTTAGGGCTTTCTTTTGGTCCAAGAATCATAGAAAATGGTTGAGAAACGAAGGAGATTAGTGAGTTTGAAGTTTTCCAGTTTTCCGGCCAGTTTTCCGGTGACCGGAGTCCGGCGAAGGTCGGCCGGAGAAGAAAGGAGAATATTCCGTTAAGTTTAACGGAATATTCCTAACGGCAGGGGTTAAGTTTAACGGAATATTCCGTCAGGTTAACGGAATATTCCTGACGGCGTCTGTTGACACCGTCAGTGTGCTTGGCACGTGACCGCGCGTGGGGGCGCGTGGGTCCGTGCCTGTTCTGGCGCGTGGGGGCGCGTGCGGGGTCCAAAAATTATTTTAAAAATATGGTTGTGATCCTGAGGTTGTGTAGAGCACGTCGGTATATTCATTTGTCCATTTTGAGCAATGTATGAGAAGTTATTACGAGAAACGAGTTATGTGCTTTAAAGTTAACGTTTTTATAGTTGTTTCGCATCTAGGTGACACGTACCCAGAGGACGAGCGTGCACATGCGAGACAGGGGGGCTACGACCCTTCTACATACCAGTGAGTGGGCTTTTGTTTTCCGTATATACCTATATACATTTATATTCCCAGAAATTGATTTAAAAAGGGTTATTTGCCTTATGCCATGTACTTTATTATTTATCGTTTATGCATCGTTGCATGCATCATTTGTGGCATACATATACATATGCATATGTCATATATATTTATGTGTGGGTGCTGTGGAGGCATAGGTAAGTGCCAGGTAAGCGTTAATTAACGATTGCATTACATAGTGTTTAGAGATGCTTAGAGAGCTCATAACCTACACCCCCAGTGTTAGTGCTCCCGCCCAGAGTAGGGCACAGTCCTTCACGTGTTGTTCACCTCCCGCACCATACGCTCAGCTTGGATCCAAGTTAGGTGCATAGGCCTGTCGTACAGACCACAGTAGGTGGTTCCGACTCGTAGATGACCCGCGATTATTCGCACAGCCTTCACGTGATCGTAGCACTAGAGCGTATATACATGTTACACCCAGGCCTGTCGTACAGACCCCTTTAGGTGGTTCCGACTCGTGGGTAGGTTTATTTGTGAGATTGATATTTGAGCTCTATATACAGCCGTACAGGTCACGTTAGGTGACTCCGGCTGCCAGAGGATTGGGTGATTGATACGACTCACACCTGAGCACTTGCATATCATTAGGAGATTTTGACATAGCATATATTGAGCATGATTGGCATACCCTTGAGCATGTTTGGGCATATCTATACATACGTACATATGTTATTTTTCTGGGAAGTATACAGGTTTTACGGCGAGGGGTTAGATTGTGTTTTGCTAAATGGTTTTCAAAGAGCTTTGTTTTTGCCCACTCACGCTTTTGTTTTACGCCCCTCCAGGTTCTAGTTGCTTAGCCGTTGCGGTGGTTTCCCTTGCGAGCTTTTCGGCGTTCTGACAGACACTCCACATTGTAGGGTCGCCTTCGGGCGTACTACTGTTGTTGTTTTATTTGGACTGCTATAGACCTGCTCTGAATTTGTATCACACTAACTAGCACTTATTCTAGTACTAGAATGCTAGTTTTTAATTATTCATACTTTTTTTTATTACTACTCTATTAGCTTCCGCACGTGCACATGGCTACGTCGCCTTTGTGTGACGGCCAGCACGCTCCTATCTCGGTCGGGGTGTGTCATTTTATATATCTGAAAGTGTTTTTAGAATAAATGTTTTTGGGTTCCAAAAGCACTTGAAGTTCTTCTTGCTAAAAGCAGATGTTATGTGCTTCTTGCTGGAAGTACTTTAAATGTTTTTTTAGAATTAACTTGCAATTTTTAACTAAGATTTGGTTCTAAAAACATTTTATCTAAAAGCATTTTCAGTCTTTTAGAAGCACTTGACAAACGAACCCTAGATCTTTGTGATGGTTCCCTTTGGCCAATGGCCACTAATATTATTTATTATCTCATTATTAATATAACTATTTCATTCCCTTATAAATCAATTTAGCATACGTATTATATAAAGTAAATTAATATTAATGTTCTAACTGTTAATACAAACAACGCCATCACAATTTCAAACTAAGTTTTTCAAATTTAAATAATGAGTAATGCTAGAGAATTAAATTTATAAATAAAAATTACAAATTAAATAAGAGAATTTTAATGAAAAGTTCCTGATACTGTTCACTTTAACGAAAAACCACATTTTTACACTAAAAAGTCAATCTTGGTACTATTCACTTTACCTTTTATTTTGTCATTATCGTTAAAACTCAAAATTTTCAAACATTTTTCCTATTAAATAATACCTCATCAATAATTTTAATTATGAGCCATGCAAGTAAAGTGATTACAAATTTGGTAAGCTAGACTAGCTGATTGATGGTCGTACTTAATAAAAAGAAAAGGTTTGATAGATTCGCGGGTTGTACAAATCAAACCAAAAGGAATATAGATAAATGAATAACAATGGTGTAGTGCATCCAATACTGTCACCTCAATGTGTCTGTGTATATATATATAGGTCAAAAACTTTGAGCTTGTGGCTCCCGCCAATGTTACACATACACACCCCATATAGCCAGATACTATTACTGTAAATCATGCACTACACATTATTCCCATGTTCAACGAATTTAAGTCACATCCAGAGAGACTAGACTACTTGTTTTTTTTTTTTTTCTTTTTCACAGAAGTATAATGAACTTCATTCATGAGAGATTTTTTCAAGTATAAGGTATTCAAGCAGTATTTTACATGTCCTAATATAAGCAAAAAAATGATATCTTTTTTTCGTATCTCTCCACTAGTATTATAACACATACAGTACCCGTTTAAGTACCGAATATTTTGAAAATTTTCTCTGTCTATACATGTAATTTGGGAATGGGAATTTTTCGTATGTTATCTTATCTACCATTACTCCTTAATCAAAAGCATTTGTGAAAATCCAAAGCGTTTCTAGAGAAGCAACGGAAGAAGTATTCAAGTGTTTTTTAATGAGTCAATTGAACGAAAATAACGGAGTCCTTGTTAATCCTATGGAGATGGTTAACTTGGTCAGGAAGCAAATCCTTGAATTTCGAGTTGGTCAAGGGGGTAAGAGGGTAGAAACTGGAGAACATGAGACTGAGAACGCAGTGAACTTTGCGGGTCAACCGGTTAGGTGGAGGAGACCAGCGTTTGGAGTGCTAAAGATCAATTTTGATGGGGCTTGGTGTGGGACGACTCGAAAAGGTGGCTATGGGTGGGTACTGCGGGATTTTGCTGGGATGCTGCAAGCGGCTGGAGGTGTGGGAGGCTTGATCTTCAGTACAGCGGCAATGGCAGAAGCTGCTGCAATACGTGCTACGGTGCAGGTGTGTATTGAGTTGGGATGTCAGGATGTGGAGGTTGAACCAGATTCTCGGATGCTCATTCGAATGCTTAATGGGGAATATGCGATTGATGGTACTTTGGAGTGCTTTATTTATGATATTGGGTTGTTGGTATCTCAATTAGGAACGGTGAGGTTTGTGTTTGTTAAGTAGGAAGGAAATGCCGCTACTCACGCTATGGCTTCATATGTTGCCTCACATGGAGGTGTTTTCCGTTGGGATGCTTTGGGTCCAGAGTTTTTATTTAATATTCTAACGAAAGATGTAAACGTTTCTATTAGTATTTAATAAAGTCTACCGTTTGACCAACAAACAAAAAAAAAAACTTTATTGTGCCTCTAATAAAAGATTTTCTAGCATAAGCGATTGTGTTCTTGTTGATGTTGTTCCAGCATTAAAAATTAAATTCTAATTATTTATAATAGCTTAAAGCTTATGTGGCATTCATAGAGAGAGAAAGAGAGAGAAGGATAGAAGAATCAAGTTTTAACTACATATAATGATAGCCATGTGGCCACTTAGTACTACGGTCTAGTGATATCTTTTTCACTTGTAAGTGAGAGATCTTAGATTCGATTCTCATCAAATACGAATTTAAACCATATTATTACTAGCCTATTGTGAGGTTTAGCCCATTCCTCCCACCCCTTTAGTGTATATAATATCTTTTATTTTGAAAAATGACAACCATGCGGCCTTCATAATTGACCTATATCTAATTATTAAAATATAAGATAAAAGCAAGGCATGAGATCTTCGCCTTCTCCTACTGACTGTGTTTTGTGTACACTCGGTAGTTCCCAGTTCTCTCTAGGTTCTCATCCTTCATTTTCACTTCTCATTAATTCAAATCTTTGTTATTTTTTATTTTTGATGACACACCCCGACCGGAGTCGAGGCATGCTGGCCGACACCCGAAAGTGACGTAATTAAAAAGGAAAGTGAAGCATAAAAATATGCATAAATTTAAACCAAAGCTAACATTTATTTAATCTAAAGTAGATAGTGCGCAATAGTGGGAAGAACCCATAAAACATAAGTGTTCAGAGCATAGATGACAGTACGACATAAATAGAACAGTCGAATCTAGTAAGGTACTTATTACACAACAAGAAATAAGCTCCTACATTTATTTATGGAAATGTCAGAACTGCTAGAGATTCCTCGTACGCCACAAAGAATTCAGCTAACCAAGTTCTGGAGGGGCAAAAAACAGAAGAGTGAGTGGGCAAAAACAAAGGTTTATAGAACACATTTATTTTTCTGAACATACTAACCCCTCGCCATAAACACATGTATAGTTTCCAGAAAATCATACTACATATAAGTATGAAATCAAATGCAAATCAACAATAATTCCATAAATAAGCTAACCATAATATCGCAACCGTAGCATAAGAAAATCAGATGCTCATCAATCTATGCTAACACACAAGTTGATGCAGAGGGATTCTGACATGATCAGGATTGGGTGTAATCATAATATACGTTCTAGTACTACAATCACGTAAAGACTGGTGCTAGGCACATCACATACGAGTCGGAGTTGCCTATTACTACATGTACGACAAGACTAGCACCTACAATGGATCCAAGGTAAGCTTGCGGTGCGAATGTGAACATATACGTGAAGCCAGGCCCTGGCGCGGGGCGGGTACTACACCGGTGCAAGCATGCATGATGAGCAAGTATAATGTATATGAAAATGCCATGACAATATATAAATCTCAACAATAATGGCATTTTTAAAATTAAATAAAAGATGGCATGATAGGTGTAAAATCAATCTAAAAGCAATTGTGGAAACTATAAAACTTTATATATAATATATAAAAACAAATGCCTACTCACTGATATGTAATCAGATCGTAGCTTCCTTGCCTTGCTTGTCCACATACCTCATCTGGGTAATTCTCTCCTATATGAGAAACAACTATACTAATCAATTAGGACATACACTAAAAGGCCAGGAAAATCCCCCATAGTTTGCTCAAACAAAGGGTTTAAATATACAAAAACATTCTACACAACGTCACTGACCCGTACACGACAACCATTAGTCGCCACAAGGCCGGACGCGTCCTCACGGGCCGCCAGCTCGTGGCCACACGCGCAACCCCCTCATAGGCCATGCCCTTGCATGCGCTGGTAGATTCCCAGGGAATATTCCATCAGAATTGACGGAATATTTCGTTAAGTCTAACGGCGTCACCTAACAACGTCAAAATATTCCGTTAACTTTAACGGAATATTCTCCTTCTTCTCTAGTTGTCCTCCCCTATCTGGTTCACCGGATTCTGGAAAAAGTCGCTAGATTTCTGGAAATTTTTTAAAACTTCATATCTTCTTCATTTCTCAACCATTTTTTATGTACTTTATATGGAAATGAAGTTTATAGAACAAGTCTATACCTTTTGGAAGTCCAAAAAGTGGACGGAAATGGACTGAAATTAGCTCGAAGCTCTCGGACCTATTTTCAACTCCTTGAAACTGCGTGTTTTGACGTTGGCTTAGCTTTAAGCTTGAACTAGAGACCTCGAGGAGTTGTGTGGATGCTTCCAAATCTTCCAAAATCTTGTAACAAGAACATGAAGTCGTCGGGGAACTCACACCCAAGTCGGAGCTCCGAGTTGGAAGCTTAAACATCACCATTTTAGGATCGGTTTGTACGGATAGTTATTGCAAAGAAGGGAGACAAGGCGTGAAAGATGAGAGAACGAGAAGATGAGAGAGAGAGGTTTTCTGATTGGACAAAAGAGAGAGAGAGAGAGAGAGAGAGAAAGAGAGGTAGAGAAAAAGAGATAAGCTGTCTGATTGGGTGAGAGAAATAAGGAGAGTGACCGATTGGTAGTGAGATAAGGTCACGGGACCCCCTTTTTTTAAAGGGAGAAAGTGATAAGATTTTGTATAATTCAAGGTACACGAAATCTGTCTTCTTATAAAAAACAGTAGTTCTAACACTAAATAATTAACACACACGTGTACAATTCTACCTGTAGTTAACGTACCTTAACTAAGCATAACTTTTTCGTCACAATTCCGACTTGGGCCTAACTCATGCTCACGCATTCGTAACAATGAGTACTATTTAATTATGATAATAGGGAAAATAAATTAAAAGTCGAATAACTATGTCCACGTCAGGTTCCACTTTGCCAATAAGGGCATAATCGTCATTTTACATACTCGGGAAGGAAATTATATGGAAAATTAGGGACGGATCGTCACATTTGATTAAGGTCCTTTGTCTTTTGTCCACTTTATTATTTGAATATTAAATTATTTACTTGTCATTATATGTTAATTTTAAAATGAAAAACTTCTTAATCATTTCCAAGTATATCTTTTTCTATATTTTCAATATGTTTCTATTTTTATTTGTACACATTTTATAAGTTTGTACCAATATTCTTTTTAGTTTTAATTTGCACCAAAAAAATTTAATATAATATGTACCCATATTAAAGAAACAAGGTTTCATTCTATTAATTAGTTGATTAGAGATCAGATGTGACAGCCCGTTCCAGATTTTCAAACCGTAGGGGTGAAATGACAATTTTGCCCCTAGTATGTTTGTTTCGTTGTGTGGTTGTTTTTTAGCTTAGTTTGGCTAGTTGTGGACCACACACACTTCCCCATACACCTCCCTCACCCTTTCCTTGCCCTGCACCCTATCCCGAGCCTTTTCTCTCTCCCATTTCTATCCAATACGTATGGACACAACCAAAATCCATTCAAATCTTCACAGATCGAGGAAACAAAGTACATATTCATGCTCGTGAGGTCCGTAGAAGTTTAACCATACCCATTTCAGGTAAGAATACCTTCGTTTTCACGTCGAACTCGGGATACCCCGATTTTGTCACTGTTCATGCACACGTTAATTCTTATGTTTTTGGGAATTTCAAGCTTGTAGGAAGCTTGGTGAGGTCCTTATGAGGCTCGAGGTGGTTCGTTTGAAGGTTTTGGACGTCGGGATCGTGAGATTCAAGGTTGGCCGGAGTTGGTGGTGTTTTCCCGGCGAGATTCCGTGTGTTTTAGCACTTGAAAGTGGTATGGATTTGTTCCTCTCGTTGTAAGCTTCATTTTGGTACCAATTTTGTGAAATTTGGTTGAAAAACGAAGAAGTTACAAGGTTTTGAAAAATTCCCGATTTTCCGGCGCCGTCGTCGGCGCCGGAGCCTCGCCGGAGAAGACGACGGAATATTCCGTCAGTTTGGACTGAATATTCCTAACGGCGTTAACGGAATCCGTTAAAGTTAACGGAATATTCCTGACGGCGTTAACTGACGCCGTTAGTGTGCCAGGCATGTGCCTGCGCGTGGCCGGCGCGTGCGACGGTGGAAAATTTTTCTAAAAATATGGGGATGTTCCTGAGGTTGAGTAGATCACGTTGGTGTATTCATACATCCCATTTGAGCTATGTATGAGAAGTTATTTCATAAGGTCGGTTATGTGCTTTAAAATTAACGTTTTTATAGTTGTTTCGCATATAGGTGAAACCTATCCCGAGGATGAGCGCGGTCACTCGAGGCAAGGGGGTTACGACCCTTCTACATACCAGTGAGTGGGCTTTTGGTTTTCCGTATATACCTATATACTTATACTTTTCCCAGAAAGTGAAATGAAACGTTATTCGTTTATATGCCATGCTTATTGTTTGCCATTTATTTACGCATTATTAGTTGCATATATATATATGTGTGTGTGTGTATTGGTGCTGTGGACGCACAGGTAAGTGCCAGGTAAGTTACGGTTTATGCTTATGTTTAGTAGTGATTTGAGATGCATAGAGAGCTCATAACCTGCACCCCCGGTGTTAGTGCTCCCGCCCAGAGTTGGGCACAGTCCTTCACGTGATGTTCACCTCCCGCACCACACGCTCATCTTGGATCCAAGTTAGGTGCACAGTCCTGTCATACAGACCACTTTAGGTGGTTCCGACTCGTAGGTGACCTGCGATTATTCGTCCAGCCTTCACGTGATCGTAGCACTTGAGCGTACTTATATTACACACAGTCTTGTCGTACAGACCACTTTAGGTGGTTCCGACTCGTGTGCAGGTATAGTTAGTGAGATGGAGATCTGAGCTCTAGATTCAGCCGTACAGGTCACGTTAGGTGACTCCAGCTGACAGATTACATGACATTGATTTGATATTACTTGAGCACTTGCATTTTACTTCGAGGCTTTGACATGGCATATTTTCCGAGCATGATTATATATATATTTATATTATGTTTCTGGGAAGTATACAGGTTTTACGGCGAGGGGTTAGAATCTGTTTTTGAAATGGTTTTTGAAAAGCTTTGTTTTTGCCCACTCACACTTTCTGTTTTACGCCCCTCCAGGTTCTAGTTGGCTAGCACTTTTGGTGGCTCCCCAGAGGATTCCCCGGCAGTTCTGACAAATTATCACCAATGTAGGACCACCTTTGGGTGTGTTTATGTAGTATCGTTTCTCCCGGACTGCATTAGGTCTTCGTGCTCTGAACTTTGTTTTCACACTTACGCTTGCACATGTATGTTCTTACGTTGTGTAAAGCTGTTGGTTTTTGTTTATTCGTACTTTTATTATTATTTTATTAGCTTCCGCACTGTGCACATGGTTACGTCACTTCCACGTGACGGCCAGCATGCCCTGATCTCGGTCGAGGTATGTCATCAGAACTAAAATAACACTAAAATTTATCATTAATTAAGCCAAAACAAAAATATGCGAATAATATATGGCCAAATAATAAAGTTTTTATTGAGTTTTAACTAAATTATGTTTTATTTTTTACTTTGATATTAAATTCAAAAAATTAATGGTGATAATTTTTTTTTACACTTAGTAATAGTAACCAAATGACATTTTTTTTTTTTTGAAAAGACTATAATGGTTACTGGTTAATGGTTAAATTAGAAAGTTAATTGTGTTTGAACCTACGCCTAAGCACAATAGCATAACTCATTTCTACTACTGGTAAATGTCACTTGCAAACGACATTTTCATTTTTTTGGTAAAATTGAGGGTCAAAAAGACCCAAGAAAAACAACTAACTATTAACAAAGCGGGTATGAGGAAACCCAACAGCATCCTCAAAGATCAACCTATCCACAAGAGGAGGAGGCTCATATCAAACACATTTTCTTTTCCTCTATAAGAACAACTCCAGCGTTGGAGCCCTCCCCCTAGGCGATTCACTATTCAATCCACCTTATGAACAGTAACTGCCCTTAATGAACAGTAATAGCCCTGGCAATAGCCTTTGCATCTCCACTGTTACACTTCAATAGCCTTGGCAATAGGCAATAAAATATTAATATTTTATTTATTTATAAAATAATACAAAATAATTTTAATTGTAAATTTGGGTATCAAATAAATAATATATTGTTACCTGATCCGAGTAATTTTCCCCACTTCGAATATTACTACTAGCTTGTGCCAAGGTGTCTCTCCACGTACTAAACGATTGGCTAAGTAATTTCCAACGACTTGACATTGATTCTTTGGTTCTTTTCTCACCAATTTTCTCAAGATAATTGGTATGAATAAGACTCCACATTTCTCGCAACTGCATCTCATTACCCGTAAGCGAACTATGAGTAACTTCAACCTAGCTAGTACACAACGCAACATCTTCAAGAAGCGATCAATTCGTACCTGCATCAGTAGTCATTTTGTTAAAAAAAAAATGGATTAAAACTTTGAGACAAAGAAAAGAATGTGATTGAAAGTAGTTGAGAAAATATGAAATTGTTGTGTAAGGTAGATGATAATGAGAAGGTATTTATAGAAAAGTAAAAACAATTTTTTTAAAAACATTTCAGATTTTTTTTTAATTTTTTACAACTTTTTCCAATTTTTTTTAAATTTTTATTCAACTAATTAATTTCTGCCGTTGGATATAAAAAAATTTGAATTCCAACACTCCAGATTGTGCCACGTGTCACAACGGTAACTTTTCTTAATTTTAAAACTATTTTTTCTTTTATTTTTTTATTTATAAAGCATATTAATATCCATCGTTGATCTCAGATCGAACGGTGGATATTAAATAAAACTTTTTTTTTTTTACCGTTGAGATCGAACGGTCCAAATTAAAGATTTGTTGAGATTGAACGGACCGTGGGAAGCCACGTGGCTTCCCAACAGTAACTGAAAAAGCACTGTTTTTTTTTTATTTTGTGTCGGCGACGCGCCCCCACACGCGAGTGGGGTGCACGCGCCTGACAGAAAAAAAATTAAAAATGGCCTGACGTCACATTCATTCGGGCTCTCGAGCTGGCAATTCTCCACGGGCTCAGAGCTCGGACCTCCACCTCCACTCGGGCTCTCCAACGCTGGAGCCGGTCCACAGGGCCTCGGGCCCCTTTTCTCTGGCCTGTCCCTCGAGCACCCAGCAACGTTGGGCTTGCTCTAACGTCCATGTGAGTTGAAGGTGGGCCCAACTCCACAGACCCCACATACCATCCATAACCAAAACCTTAATCACTTGCCGAAAAAGCCATTAAACAATAATTAGCACATGGTTAAAACAGCTCGATCAGAGTGAGTTGAGTTAGCGGTAAAAGTAGGTCCGCCCCCTTCTCTTAACTTTGCTACGCTTTCCCTTTCTTCTGCTGCTCTGTGCCTGCTTCTGTTTTTGCTTTTGCGTCCCTGAAACTGAAAACCAACGCAAACCAACCAAACCCATCTCTCTCTCCTCTCCCCGAGCCTTTATAACCCTCCTGCCATGAATTCCCAGCACCGGCAACGGAACCACAGAGCTGCCGGAAACTGACCGAGAACCAAAACGACCCCGTTTGGACAAACGCACATTGTACTGCTTGAAAATGGTGCAAGAAGGCTGTGGCGGAGGACATGCAGAGGTGGAGAGCTGCGGCGGCCGCTCGGTTGTGGTGGGGGTGAAGCTGGACTCGAAGAGCAGGGAGCTGCTGACGTGGGCTATGGTTAAGGTGGCTCAGCCTGGTGACCGTGTGATTGCCCTCCATGTGCCCGGTAAAAATGGATAGTAAAATTTGGGTGAAATCTTTTGGTCGGGTGGAGTGGAAGTTTACTGGTTTTGTTGAATTGGGTAATTGCAGAAATTGTTGATCGAGATGGGAAGTCGTCGCTTCTCTCCCTTGTCAAAGCGTTTGACTCTGTTCTTGCAGTCTATGATGGTTTCTGCAACTTGAAGCAGGTTACTTTCTCGCTATTTTTTGTTGTGGTTTTCGTTAAGATTTTGTTTTCCTTTTGTATAATTTTGTCATACCCTCTGTTTGTTTCCTGAGAAAATGAAAAATGTTGCGACTTTAGAGTGAAAAATTTGAGTTCTAACCAGTTGGAGGGTCGATCATTTTTTTCAGTGCCAGAAAGTTAAAGAGTTGGGATTTTTGTTGAAAACTTTTACAGGTGGATCTCAAGCTCAAAATCTGCAGAGGAACATCAATCAAGAAAATATTAGTTCGGGAAGCGAATTCGTATACTGCAAGTAAGGTTATAGTTGGAACTGCTCAGAACCACCATAAAATCCGGTCATCGACTGCCGTGGCCAAATACTGTGCCAAGAAACTGTCTAAGGATTGTGGGGTTCTTGCTGTAAATAATGGGAAAGTTGTATTTAACAGAGAATGCTCTCAAGCAAATTACGGTAACCCCCAAGGTATTTAGATTTTGGACTTTTGGCTGAAATAATCAGCTTTTGGCATTTGTTTGCCGAAATGATCCATTTTTAGCAGTTGCTGTTATATGATCGATACGTCTTTGATATATGATTTATATGCCGTCGGTAGCTAATTTTGATCATTTCAGCAACCAAAATGTCAAAAGTGGATCATTTTAGCTAATTGCTCTTAGATTTTTCTAGTTTTGGGTTCTTTCAATGGTTTTTGAGTCTGTAATTTGTTTAAGGTGGGCTTCTGAGTTGAGTACTTGTTTGCAGGAAGCGAAGAGCATCACCGGAACAGTTTGCTCAGCGCATTTCACCGATCAGTGCATAAGTCTTCCAAAGTACTAAATGATGGCGGTGACAGTGTGACCTTAAAGGACACATATTGTCAGGTTAATTGTCAAAAATTGGAGCAGGGCTTAGCCAAAGTTTTCTTGGAATGTTCTGAGTCTGTTGCAACACAGAAATGCTCAGTCTGTTCAGGGCCCTCGGTGGATAGTTCTGGTCATCAATCTGCAGAAGAGTTCTCTGATGACGGTGAAGATAAATCTATGGCTATAGTGCCAGTACAAAAAGAAGAGGCACTAGCAGTGAGCTCAATTTCTATGTTGATCAGAGAATTGCCTGAAGTGAAACCTGGTTGGCCACTGCTTCGACGAGCCGTACTCCCAGAACGACAAATTCCTGAGAGGTTTATGGTCCGGACGATCTCCGTGGTTCAGTGGGCAATGCAGTTGCCCATTAGACAGCATTCAATTGCCAGCAATTTCGATGAAAGGAAAAATAGTTGTGATTCAGATCAACCTTCCTGTTTGAATGGAGAAAGTGGGCCCATTGTTGCAGTGGGTGGCAAGGCAATGATTGCCCCACCTTCACCGGACTACAATTCGAAAGCCCTGCCTAAAGAATTGGAGGGCCTGCATGAAAAGTACTTGGCTACGTGCAGATTATTCACCTACCAGGAACTTCAGTCAGCTACATCATACTTCTTGGCCGGTATGTTGTTCAAGAAGTTCATATGTCAAATATCCTATCCATTTTCCCTGATTTCTATTGATTTGGTTTATTCAAAAATATATTTTCCTTTGTAATCCCAGACAACATCATCGGGAGAGGCGGTAGCAGTCAAGTTTATAGAGGCTGCCTTCCCGACGGCAAGGAACTGGCAGTGAAAATCTTAAAACCATCTGAAGATGTATTGAAGGAGTTTGTTTTGGAGATAGACATCATTACTACCTTAAACCACAAGAACATTATTTCCCTTTTGGGGTTCTGTTTTGAGGATAATAATCTTCTCTTGGTTTACGATTTCTTATCAAGAGGAAGCCTTGAAGAGAATCTCCATGGTATATACTACATATTTCTCTGGCTTTTAGATATTACAATGAAGAGCAATAATTGTTTACTTGCCCTTAATTGCTGTTTGAATTCTAGCTCAATTTACAATTTTTTTCAATGTTCTCCAAATCAGGAACCAAGAAAGATCCACTTGCATGTGGATGGAATGAGAGATATAAGGTGGCCGTGGGTGTAGCTGAGGCCTTGGACTATCTGCACACTGGCAGTGCTCAATCTGTAATCCACAGGGATGTCAAATCATCCAATATTCTACTGTCTGATGATTTTGAGCCGCAGGTACGTCTGATCAGTTTCTTGCTTCTAAAGATGCATTTGTTTGTCAAATTTTCAGTGTTCGTTAATACTATTTCGGCAAGGTTTCTTCAGCTCTCTGATTTTGGACTGGCAAAATGGGTGTCAACCTCCTCTTCGCATATAACGTGCAGCGATGTTGCAGGCACCTTTGGGTTTGTAACTTCATTTCACAGCTTTGCCTTTCATCTTCTCTCTGTAGACTTCCATTTTTCTACAAAGATGAAAAAAAATTCAAATCTAGTTCTTTCTTAAGAAGACATGAAAACTGCGATATACTGATTAGTTAATAACATATTGCATTGTTCTGCAGCTACTTGGCTCCTGAATACTTCATGTATGGCAAAGTAAACGACAAAATTGACGTGTATGCATTTGGTGTTGTACTCCTCGAGCTTCTTTCAGGAAGAAGGCCTATAAGCAGTGACCATCCAAAAGGCCACGAAAGCCTAGTCATGTGGGTATGTCCTCTTTGCCCATAAGGTTTAGCAGTACTCCATGTACCTCTTGATGTTTGTCTCTTAAAAGAAGTTGAATTATTGAAACGTCTTGTACAGGCCAAGCCAATTCTAAATGGTGGGCAGGTATCCCAACTTTTAGATCCGCATTTGGGCAATAACTACGACCAGGGCCCGATAGAGAGAATGGTTTTAGCGGCCACTCTTTGCATCAGGCATGCTCCACGAGCTAGGCCCCAAATGAGCTTTGTAAGTTGGATCTGATCCCTCTTGAGTATCTTTCATCAGTTTATAGCATGCAACGAAAATATCTGAATTAATATTGACAAAATTCTCTGGTTACTTTTGAGCACAGATTGTGAAGCTCCTTCAAGGCGACGCGGATGTGACTAAGTGGGCAAGGCTGCAAGTTCATGCTGTGGAGGAATCTGATGTGCTCGAAAATGAAACATGTCCACATTCAAATCTGCAGTCTCACCTTAACCTTGCACTGCTTGATGTGGAGGATGACTCACTCTCCATGAGCAGCATTGAGCAAACTGTCTCCTTAGAGGACTACCTGAAAGGGCGGTGGAGCCGCTCATCGAGCTTCGACTAACGAATTCACTAGCACAATGCTAGTAATTGCACTTCTCCATTTGTGTGATCCATTTGTATATTAATCCCTCACCAAGAAAAAAAAAAAAAAAGAAAAGTAAAAACAATGGCTTTTACATGTTGTTTGAGTGTTTGGGTTAGAGTTGTTATAGATGGGTTTAGGATGAGAGGTTGTTTGTGTTTGTGCCCTCCTCCTTCCCTAATGGTCATAAAACTAGTCCTTATTTGTTGGACTGGTTTTCCTTGTTGGTGTCTTTTCAGTTTACTTCTTGGTCTCAATTAGACCAAGAGTTGGGAGACTCTTGTAATGTTCAAAGATGAATGTTTTTTTTCCTCTGAGTGAGCAGAAATCTAAATATACGGCTAAAGGAGAAAAATTTACATGAAACTGTTGCTTACCCCTTCTCTGTCTCAAAAAATTCTTGAGCCGATTGTTTACAACCGTGTATTCATTAATGTCTCTCATTACATCACTATACATGTGATGAAAAAGATACACATGCCTATATGTATCCGTGATAATTTATACTCTTTTTTTCGTTTCTATTATCAATGAAAAAGATTCACATGACTATATTTATCATTTTTAACCAAAATTTTACCCTTCATTTCATGAGTATCATTTTTGATAAAATATTTCAAATATATCCAAAATTTCGCTTGAAATTGCCCTTAATACAATGACATCCTTTCAAATATTCTAGGTTGGAATTCATAGTTTGGTGATTGGTAAACAAGTTGCGGACATTGTCGAATTAATGGAGGACACTTTCAAATTCTCACATCTTTCTCTGAAATTCGATCACTAGCCCTAATACAATTTCATTTTTCACAGTAGTGATTGATATATCATAATCCGTTAATTTTTGTTTTCTTCTCTAATGGCCGTGTTTGGTGGTTATGAGATTAGGGTTTCAATATGTCCAGCAAGTCTTTTTTAGGCTATTGATTTGCCCCTCTTGCTACCAAAAAAACATTTGCAGAACTACTGATTCCTATGCAGGTTATTATTGGGGGACAATTTCACTAAACATGATTTATTCCACTATCCCTTAAGAAATTGGACCCAGATGGCAAAAAAACCAGAAACTGAAAATACATGCTGCTTTCCATGGCCTTTCATGGTGTATGGAGATTGGAGAGAATATTTATTTTGCAATGTCATGGGATTTGAGAGTGTTTCATTTCAAGATATTTAAGTCTATTCAAGTTAATTTTTTGCCATATTTGAATTTTTTTATAAAACTGATATTTGTGAATTTGGGGGCTTAATTTTGGTTATAAATCATAAATACTCTAGAAAGAAAGGGTATGCAATGGGTACCTAAGACCATCTCCAATAGAGGGGGCTAAAGGTTCAAAAGTCAAAAATTGGTTTGATTTGCTCAAAAATTCATCTTCAACCAATGATTGGACTATAATTTTATGGTGCCCACCAAACCATTATTTGGCCAAAGGGGCACCAGGCTGGCCAAATGTAACCCTCCTTTTAGCCCTTTTTTTGGGGTTCAGCTCCTCAATCACAATGATTGATTCAAATTAAATAGCTAAATTTGAAAACATCCAAAGGTAGTGTAACTAAAATAACCAATAAATTGAATGTATAAACTTAAAACTAATAAATTATTCAGAGGGCTATATTTAGCCCATTCGGTTGAGATGGTTTATGAGTATGGTCTGACACTGTTCATTTAAAAATAATTTTGCAAGCACATAACTATGGACGGGACTATATTTAGCTCTTTTAGTGAGATGACCTAAGTTTTTATACTTTTGAGTACATACATGCATAATTTACATATAAATTTCTAGCTTACATGAAATTGTTGCATTCCCCCTTTTTCTAAGTTTCAAGATATTCTTGGGCTAGATGAATACAACCGTCTTTCCATATCTCTCATTATGTGTTATTCATGTGATGAGAAAGATGGACACATACAATCGGTAACAAATCAAATTCTCTCTTATGTTGCTTTCATCAGATAGAAGATACATAAAGAGAAAGGGGCATGCGATGGAGATACCACCTAAGTATTTCTACTTTTGAGTACATACATACGCAATTACATATAGATTTCAAGCTTTGTGAACCACAATGTCCATAATCTAACAAAAGAAAAGGGCAATGCAAATGGAAGTCATTATCCTCCCTCCAACTTGGTAATAAACATTAGTGAACCATACTGTGCTGTTAGATTCTTTTCCAATAACACAAATCACATGGTGCTAGATCTTTCTTATGCCTCTAAAGTCATGGCGGTCTCCCAACAACCCACAACCACCACCGCCGCCACCACTTCTGTGGACCAAAATTCCCCATGAACCTCACCGACACCTCAAAACCCATTTTGGTCATGTCCACAGCATCCATAAATTTCACCACAAGATATGAAGGTGAAATAAAAGGACTATTTGTTGTACCATGGTTGTCCACTTTGGTTGTGAGTACCACATGCTTGATGAGAGTGCTATTCCTTAGCTGAAATAGAGAGAATTTCCCTAGACAAATAATTGCACCACAACCTCACACTGTTAGCAATAAGTTAAATCATAGGCACCAAATGTGACACAAAAGCCACTTAGTACTACGGTCTAATGGTATTTCTCTTAATTTGTAAGTGAGAGATCTTAGATTCGATTATCGCCAAAGGCGAATTTGAACCACATTATTACTAATCTATTGTGACTCTAAATTCACCTTCCCTCTCCCCCCCCCCCCAAAAAAAAAAAAAAAAGAAGAAAAAAGTTACACAAAAAAATCCAATCAAATTATAGGCACCAAATGTAAGAGTATTGTATACTATGTGGAATATGTAAAAATACGAGTGAAAAGTTATATCACGTGACATTGTTTCAATATCTATGTTTGACACAAAAAAATCCAATAAATTATAGGCACCAAATGTGAGAGTATTGTATAATATGTGGAAGATGTAAAAATACGAGTCAAAAGTTATATCACGTGACATTATTTCAATATCTATGTTTGTCATTTTCTAATTACTCACTTACTTTACAAGATTGGGCAGATAGCTAAATTTTTTTTTTTTGTCTAAGCGAGCTTATACAAGCACTTTCTCTTAGCTATCTGCCTTTTCCTGCACTATCGTTCGTGGGTTTCCACGGACTTCATCTTGACAGTTGACTTCTATGTCTTAGTTGATGGCTATCCTTACTTCGTGGCTATGCTCGCAGAGCTTATCGGATTTGGATGTTGCGTTTGATGAGGTGCTGCTCGGTTATGGGTGAGGATTTAAGTGGATCGGAACTTCTATGTTGGCGGCGGAAGTAGTGGAACTTTCTAGTTGCTATGTTCTGTTTTGCTTTTTGGGCCGAATTTGTTGTTAAGCCCTTTTGTAGTCTATAAGTCAGCTTTGGGCCCGTGGGTTGTGTATTTGTATGTTTGTCTTTTTGGTGTGCAATAAAAAGTTTGCTTACCCAAAAAATACAAAAGTTTTATTGTTTTTCTCCCAATTAAAGTGATTCCAATTTTCATTAAAAAGAAAAAGTTACACCAACCATCACCACCTAAAAGAAGGACCAAATAAATGAACGAAAAATGGGGGTAAATGTAGGTTGGTGAGGAAAAATAACTTGAAAAAAGCACTTTAAAAATGTGCTACTGAAGAAGATCCTTTAAGGAGGCACCCTATGAGGTGAGTTAAAGACATAGGGTCGTGATGAATGATAATTTCTAGAAAAAGAAAAAAGGCATCAATTCTAGACCTGAGATAAGCTCAGAATAAATTAAGACCTACTCAAAGAACACAGAAACACAAGTCCAGAGTAATAGCAGTCGAGAATAAAACCCATAATAAAGAGCAAAAGCGATAACGGGTTGGGGAAAGAGAAAAACATTCTAAAAATTAGGGAAGGAAATGTTTTAGGGTTGTTTTTGGGGGAGAGTGCTAAGAAAATTGAAAAAGTTTAAACATTGGTACAGTAATGATAAAAAAAAAATTTGTATTTCTCCGGAGTATAAGATAGTTTGGATTTTGAAACTGTTAAACCTTAAAACTTATAAGTTATAATTTCAACAATGTTATGAATATGAGAAAATATGTGATTGTGTAAATCCTAGTTAGATTTGGATTCTAGATTGTCCATTATTCTAGTGATTCTTTCCCTATAGGATTTTACTTGGAGGAGAAGGTATACCTTTCCTCTTGGTTTACTATAAATAAAGGCACTGACACAGGGAGAATCATAAAATCCCTAAGAATTCTACAATTTCTCCACTTTCTCTATTGTTGCCACACCTTCTGTTTCAGATAAAAAAAAAATTAATAGTCAAAAAATCTAGTGTATAAACCATAGAACTGACAATTGAGGTTTCTCAAGTTTGACAAAAAGAAAAAATTAACTGAATTGTGAGACATGTCTTGCTTTAGAAGCCGATCAAAATTCAAAACATGTTGTGATCTATTTTATCTGAGGTAGAGAGAGGGTGCGACAATAGTAGAGAAAGTGGACAAATGGTAGAATGCTTAGGGATTGTTGTGATTCTCCATATGTCAGTGCCTTACAATCTTATAGGGGAAGAATCACTAGAATTTACACAATCACAATTACAAAATATTTATAATACTCACCCTTGAGTGTGTAAATGCTCAAGTAAATGCAACACCAAGGTAAATGCAACACCAGGTTTGGCAAAGTTGAGAAAGTCGACTTGTTGTCACTAATCTGGGAACATGCTAGTTGCAAACATGGAACTTGCATATAGAAATAAGTCTCACAAAACCCGGCTATGGTAAAACTCAATAGGGACAAAAATCCATAGTCTAAAGACAATGGTGAGTTGGATACAAAGATAATTTAGACGCCTATAAGACGTACACAAGGGTATGACCAGCCCAAGATAGGTGTCTCCTTTAAGTCCTAGTTAGGTGGCAAAAACCCAAAGGGAAAAATGCTCCTAATCTAGGGAAAAAAGAGTACATTAAGATTCAACGAGTATACTTCAGGATTCTCCCCCTGAGTTTGACATAATTTCAAAGAGAACTAATAATGTTATAACTCATAAGGCCAGCCCAGGCCTAGCGTGGGTTGGGCGATCGTCCGAGGCCCAAAAAAGTTGGGGGCACCAAATTATTATAGTGCATTCATAAATATTTTCATAAGAGTATAAATTTTTAAACGTTGGTTGAATAACAAACAAATTTAAGTAGAGCTCGTGGCTTTTGTTGTTTGAAATTAATGAGGAGGTGTGACATCCGACATCACCCGGGGGAGTGATCCTTAAATGTATATTCTCATCCCTACCTAGCACGAGGCCTTTTGGGAGCTCACTGGCCTCGGGTTCCGTAGGAACTCCGAAGTTAAGTGAGAAGGGGGCTAGAGCAATCCCATGATGGGTGACCCACTAGGAAGTTGCTCGTGAGTTCC